CATAACATCAGAAACATTAGATGAGTTTCTAGAGAAAAACTGCTGGATCAAAAATAATACACAATTTTGATATTTAATAAATATTATATAATGTTAACACTGGTAGGAAGTTAAGTCCTTATTTCTCCTTACTCTGTCCATTATTATTTTCCTCCTGTTTATGACTTCGCCTACTTATATATTGGATAATCATCTATTTTTCTTTTATTTTATAAGAATAATTCATATAATAAAGCTACTGATCCATTTTATCATTATGTATGTGTGTGTGTGTGTGTGTGTGTGTGTATACTAGAAATAATTATTTTTCCTGGAGTGAAACCACTTTAACTTCGGTTATAGTGAGTATAGGTGGATATACTTTATGTGGTAAAACTCTTGAAAATTTTTGCTATGTTTTCTGGTTTGGGGTGTTATGCTTAGAAAAGTTTTCTTTACTGTATAATTCTATAAATATACTTCTGCATTATCTTCTATTGCTCTTCTGGTTTTATATTTTATATATAAAGTCTTCAATATTTCAGTATTCACTTTGGTATGAGATAGGAGATAAATATTAATTTTATTTCATTTTCACGACTAGCATGTCAGTTAATTAAGTGCCATTTATTTGATAACTTCTTTGTTACTAACTTAAAATCTCAACTCATTACATTTAAAGCTTGTAATTTACTTCATTGTTTTCTGCTAGTATTAAAATAATTCCACACTATTTAAATAATATTACTATTCTGATGTATTTACTTTAATATTTTCTGTAGATACATTTTACTATAATTAAACTCATGCTTACACAAATTTTTAATATTGATTGAAACTTTATTTTTTATAAATATTTTCACTTACTGTTAAAATTCTAAGTATTATTTTAAAATTTTCATATTAAAATGTAAAATAATATGCATTTATTTTAAGAAGTGAAATAATTGATTGACTTAGAATTACACATTGGAACAGGCTAGAAGGGTTGGAAACAAAGATACACATTTATTGTATGATAATTTTATAAATCAGAGGGGGAAAGGTAATATTATTCAACAAACTATTCTGAAATAATTGGTGAGCAATTAGAAAGTCGAATTCCTACTTCGTTCTGTATACAAAAATAAATTTCAAATAGATTAGAAGTTTAACCATAAAAAGAAAACCATAAAAATATTAGAGATAGGGACCAGCAGATGACGTAATAGTATGCTGTTGTACTCCCATGTAGTCAACCATGCTTTGAGTCCTGGACCCAGCAGCTTAAACCTCATCCCAGCCCATGGGCTTGTGTGCCCAACATCCTGAGAGGAGAATGGAAGAGAATCGATTTCTCACTTTTTGTCTGTCTGCCTCTCCAGCAAGCACACATGCCCTATAGCAAAAACCTCTCTCTAAAAATACACACACACACACAAACACACATTTATAAAGAGATACATAGAAGAAGTTTACTTTCAGGAGGAGTAAGGCAATTATAATAATGATACAATTTAGGTACTATAAAGAAAAATCAACAGAATCAACTATTGAAATGTGAATGTAATTTTCAATGGTTCCATTATTAAATAGGCCATAATTTAATGTCATTCACATGTTGTTGGATGTCTGTGGTTTCTAATATATTGCTATTATAAAATAATGCTTTAATGAACTTGTCCCTGTGTTAAGTGAGGATCATCTTTGAATAATCTTTATGTACTGAAATTTGTGGTGTCGCATTTTTGTTTGAAATAAATGGGTCATTGGCTTAGGTCTAAAAAACTTATTGTTACAGTTACAAAGACTTTTTTAAAATAGCCTGTTTTAAAGAACTAGAGGTTTAGAGATTCATCTGATTTCTTTTACTATCTGGTGCTTTCTTTGTCCTTCATAGTGTGAAGGTTTTGTTGGCAATAACTAGAATTTTCTAAATTACTGAGGTTAAAATAAGAAATAACCATAAGTTAGTCTAGTTTTCTCTAATAGACAATGATGATCTTTGGTAGACATTAACTTGTCCTCCATTAAATTCAAGCTGCCATAATTAAGAATTTGTCTCCCCCATCTTGAAATTTCTGGATTTTCTTGATTATCTGTAATTTTTGCTTACATTTTAATTTCATTTTCTTTTATACATTCAATCACATTATTTAGCTTACAAAGTGAATATTTCAACAGGTAAACATTTCTCCCTAGTCCAGTTGATAAAACTATAAATATCTTGTAATAATTTTACTTTACTAATGTTGTTAACTCTTTCCAGAATCTATTTTTAGCCTCTGATCTCTTGAAATAATAAGTTCCACTGCTATGAGTAATGCAGCATACAGAACAAAAATGAAGGGTTTTGAGTTGGGTTTGTTCCCTGGGGGCTGTTGCTCTGTCACTGGCTTTTGTTATTTCTTTTCAAGTTTATCTGTATTTATTTATTGAAAGAAAGACAGAAAGGGCATGAAGGAGCTGAGGACCCTCAGTAGGGTCTTGTTACAATGAGAACCTCCCCCCATTGCTCACCCACTTCCCTCACCCGCCTCCCAGCTGCCAGGATCTCGGGCATGCCCACAGGCATACCTGCAGTGTTTGAGTGGAACTGGCTTTCTCATATGGTTTCAGTATCACAAAGAGGTGCCCTCCCCCATGTGCCACTGTGGCTAGGGCTACTTTTTTTTTAACCATCTATAAGGCTTCTGTAGAGACTTAATTTGGCTACCCTAAGACCACAGAAAGTACCATGCCTCAGTTAATCTAGAGAATACTTCCTAATTCTATTAGCTGAAGAGTAAGAGGGTTTAACAACAACCTCAGGGAGCAAAAGAAAAACAAACCAGTGAGAAAAGAAATGTTCTCTAAAAGAATGCGGGATTTGGTGCCAGCAAGTGGCTTAGTGGTTCAGGTGCTAGACTCCCACAAGGCTGACGCGGTTCCATTACCCAACCCAGACATGGCATGGCTATCCCTCCTGAGGGGTGATTTCTCATTTTCTCTGCCTCATTCTCTCTGGTGAGTACATGCTCCCTATAGAAAAAGCCTTCCTAAAAACAAACAAACAAAAAAAGCAAAAACTGCTGGGACCATGCAGTTAACACAAGCTGAGTATGAAAGAACTGCCCCTCGTGCCTAGAGCAAGGACTCGGCTGAGGAGAACTGTTTGCAAGGTCAACAGTTTTACGAGTTCTGGACCTCACCTCCATTGTGTTACTGTACTGGCCTGCACTCAGTTACTCTGCTATGGGCCTTATTGCTGTACCCCGGTACCCCATAAAGACACTCCCAGCCTTACTATAACTTTTACAATAATCCTGAAGGAATGCGGATCCACTAAGGCGAAGGCTGCGTAAGGTGGCAGCTGTGAACGGGAATTACTCCCATTAGATTCACCCCACCCTCCTGGAAAATGTTACATTCACTTCTCCTACTGGGAATTACATAGATAAGCATTAGAAAGGTTTAGGTTAAAGCCACTAAATTGGCAAAACGATCTCAGTGGCTGGGAGGGGCACAGGGACTCCTCCGTGAGGTGCTGTTACCCCAAAAACCATAAGCCACCTTTACTCTCAGGACAAGGGAAGATTGCCATTCCCCAAGCCAC